CATTCTCTCAGGCTTTCACAGCTTTAATTGAACCAGTTACTGGAATTCACTTAAGCAGCTTGAGGGCAGTGTTGAAAGGGGCCAGGTTTTCACAGAACTTCAGCCATCGCTGCACATTGGCAGGTGCTGCCATGCTGCAGCCCCCGGTCTGCTGAGGCACAGACCAGAGCGCCACATCTGCCAGTGAGCTCATTCCCGACCAGCCATGGGCTCTTCCCCAGAGCAGAGTTCATGGAGCAGAAAACAGCTGCTTTTTCTTTACTACTCTCCTCTTTTAGCTAAAAAATAGCAATATATAGGGGCCAGGGAGATGGCTCAGTAGGATAAGCGCTTGACTGGCAAACTCAGGGATCTGAGTTCTATCCCCGGTTCCGCAAAAAAAAAAAATTTAGAATGTGTGCATGGGTAGTTCAGTGGTAGAATTCTCACCTGCCATGTGGGAGGCCCAGGTTCTATTCCCGGCCCATGCAGCGCCCTGTCACCTTGGGGCCAGGGAGATGGCTCAGTGGAATAAGTGTTTCCCTGGCAAGAGCAAGGGCCTGAGTTCAATCCCTTGTTCCACCAAAAAAAGAAATGAAAATAGCATATCTACCCAGCTATCTATAAGGGTTAAGGTCACAGCATTGTGCTTCTGGCCAAAGAGAGAGAACAAGAAATGTGCAATATTCCCTTCCCCTTCAATGCGGCACATCGTCTGCACACTGAACTTCATTTGAGTCTTGGGCACATTCTTCCAAATTAAGGTAAAGCCCAGCTGAAACTCATGATGGGCCTGTTCTAGTCTGTCCCCCAAAGCACTTGAGAAGGTTCTCAGGCACGCTCTTGACAGATGAATGTGTGTGGACCGTGGACAGGACCCTATAGCGCTTACAGAGCATCCTGTGCAGCACGAGCAGAGAGAGGGGAGGCGAGGCTGGGTTTGCGTTGACCACAATGTCTTTCAGTGCCCCATAATCCTTTCCAAGCACTGAATTCAAGTCCAACACATTGGTCCTCAGAGCACTGGGCTCATCTGCTTAGATGATGTTGGTTACATCCACATGGGCATCAGGGGTATGAATCATCTTGGAGAGACAATCAACTGCAGCTTTCAACTCGTATAAACATTTTAAAATATCTTGGCAGCACTCAAGAGCTTGCAGGGAGGGGTCTAATGCTTCCTGCCCATGGCCAGCACGGGGCACAGGGCTGCTGGTCCGGCAGTGCACGTTAGGGAGTCAGTACATGCAGGTAGGAAACTCTACACGCAGCGGTGCACTGCCCCCATGATAGGGCTTTACCTGGTACATCGGCATCACGGGAATGAAAGGAAGGAAGGTGGCAACCGTGGGTCACGTACACTCAGAAAGCACCGAGAAATCATGCACAACCACCACGGACTGCAGCCAACAAAAGTACAATTCTTGTTACATAGGTCTTGCTTAACCTTGGTCTTAACCATCCAGCAAAAAAGTATAAAAACGATGTATAAGAAGTAAAGCAGGGGCCAGGGAGATGGCTCAGTAGAATAAATGCTTGCCTGGCAAGC